ACTCAGACCCCACGGGCCGGGCATGGCCAGGTCAACTGCCCAGGCCAGCGCCCCCGGCGGCGGCCACACTCCCAACCCCTCCTCAGAGCAAGTGGGAAAGAGCCGTCTGCCTTCAGACAACACTGCCCTTAGCGGCCCCACTCCCCTCGGGGCAGAGAGCACCGGTCCTAAGCGGACCATGAGGCTGCCCCAGTCAGAGGCTGAGGCTGGGCGCCACCCGCAGAGACGTAAGGGGACGCTCTGGTCGAACACGCAGTCACCGTGTTTAGTTTTCTGTCCTCCCCGAGTGCACACAGAGGACAGATCAGAGGTGTGGCCACCTCGCTGGTCCCAGGATTCCCCCGTCCACCCCTCTGCGTGTGGCAGCACCGGTGCCCACCACGCTACCGCCCATGACCCCGCTGCTGTGGCAGAGCCGTTCCCGGGTCGGGTGGACTACGTCAGGCGAGCCCTCCAACCGCGGTTCTCCCTGGCCGACTGCAGAGGCCCAAGGCACTCCTGCTGGGCAGCCGAAGGTGGCCGCCAGGAGCGGATGACAGTGTCCAACAGCCAGCCGGACACCAGACTGCAGCCCTGCACGAGACCTGACTTCTGCCAACAAGCGTGACCCTGGAGGAGGGCGTCATCCCATGCACCAAAAGGTCGCTAGTTCGATTCCCCGGTCAGGGCACATGCCCCAGTTGCGGGCTCGATCCTTGATCCCCGGTAGGGGGAAGGCAGGAAGCAGCCGCCAAATGTTATAATCTCACATCGATATTTCTCTCTCATTCTCTCCCTCCCTTTCTTTTTCGCTAAAAAAAAAAGTCAATAAAAAATCTTAAAAGAAGACAATGAGAGTGAGCACAGGAGGGAGACCCTAGCAGCGAGGACCTGGTTGGGAGCCTGGGCCAGGGCGTGCTCCGTCCATCAGAGACCCGGGGCCTGGAAGGGGCACCGAGCTCTCTGCTCATTCTGCCGGGAGGCGTGGAAGGTGGTCTCCCTGGAAACCACTGTTCCGGCTCCGGCACGTTTCCATCTCCTGCCCTCACCAGAGAAGAGGCCTAGCAAATCGCGTCACCAAACCGAAAGGAAGCGTCACACCGAAGTACGCCGCCGCCCCCGTGGGCATGGAGGACACCCCACAGGGGACTGCCCACCAGGCCCGCTCTGCACCGAGTTTCTCCCCAGCGCCTCGCTCACCCTCAGCGGCCAGTGAGGTCAAGCAACAATGTCCCTGGGGACGTTTTAGAACCCGCTGCCCTCACAGCGAGACCCAGGAAGCCGCTCCACGGGCAGTGCGCTCACCGGATCCATCCTCCAGATCCCCCTCGTCCTCTCCATCGGTGCCGTCGCTGAGCTCACTGCCCGTGTCCTCAGAGCCGCCACTGTCACCATCACTGCTTTCTTCTAGACCAAGACAGGAAAAACACAGGCGGGGCAGAGTCACACCCGAGGCAGAGGAGGGCGGGTGCACAGAGGGGTGCAGCAGGCATGGGGGGGAGGGGGACAGCAGCTGCTGGCAGGGTGGGGAGGTGGGGCTGGTGAGGACAGAAGTAGGAAAAGCAAAATCCCTTTGCTCCATTGACATCTGTATCGCTTTCATTAAAAATAAGACAAAGACGCCGAAACCGGTTTGGCTCAGTGGATGGAGCGTTGGCCTGCGGACTGAAGGGTCCCAGATTCGAAAAAAAAAAATAAGACAAAGACATCTGTACTACTCTCAACAATAAAGGTCATTTTAAAAGATTATAAAACCAAGACAAAAGAATGTACCACTTCTGCAATTTAAAAACAAGAGTCATGTAGACATCACTCAGACAACAGCCAAAGGGAACTCAGCTTGTCTTTCTAATCCTCACCTGAGAACATGTTTATCATTTTAAAGAGAGGAGGAGGGAGAGAGAGAAACAGCCAAGGGAGATGGAACTGCAACCCTGGCGTAGGGACAACGCTCCAGCTGAGCCACGGGCCGCGTGGGCGCTCGGCTCTCTGCACGACGCGGACCCTGCCTCTCCTGCGGTGCCGGCCACGGGCCCGCGCTCGGCCACGGCAGGAGGGGCGGTGGCTCACCAGCATCACTGGCCAGGGTGGCAGCGCTGAGTCCCGGGTGGACATCTGGCCCCAGGCTCTGGTCCGCCAGCTCATCCAGGCTGTCCTCATCCATCGCTGGACATGGGAGTTCGGCCTGCAGGCAGGAGAGGGAAGTCACTCCCAGCTGTGCCAGGCTGCAAAGAAGGGCAGCCACTCTAGCCGTCGCACCCCTGGTGACACACGTCCAGCTGAGAGCATGTGCACAGCAGCCCAGCCACCACGCTGTGGCTACAGGGAAAGACAGATTCTTAGCTCCCGAGCCACATGCGGTCCGATCTCCACCTGCAACAAGCCCGTCGGCCTCAGCTGCGGGTCTGTACTGGGGTGAAAGGCTTGTCGGGAGCTGAGGCAAAGCAGGGCTTCCGACAGGGGCTCCCCCGAAAGGCCAGGTGGCAAGCGGGGCGCTCCCCGGGCAGATCCGCTCCGCCAAGGCTGCCGGCGGCCCCTGCTCCGGACCCCGTTGGGAACCGCGAGCTATAGCTCACCCAGAGCAGCCCCGGGGCAGCCCGGGGCCACGGGGAGCAGAGGTCACGTGAGGCCCTGCCCCTCCACCACCATGGCCACCCCCTCGGGCTCCTGTCTCCAAGTGGGGACACCTGTCGATCTCTGCATGGACAACACGGAGACCTGGACAGCGGCCTCTACGTGCAGCAAGACACACTCTCCCTCCCACACCAGAGCCTCCAACGCTGGTCCACAAATAAGGGTTCCTTCTCATCAGGTGACCCTCAGAGGACCCCTCAGAGGGAGCCACTCAGCGCACTTCCTGCCAAGGCGT